CCTTAAAGATCAAGCTCCTTGACACAAGCTCCACGAAACCCTGAACCTGAACCGTTCACCCGAAACCCGAAGAACTAAACCCTAAACCGTCTAGATCCTACCCCTCCGGGCGCCCCTGCCACGGCCAGGGGCAAAGGGGAGATGCGGCTTCGGCGGGGCCTGGCGTTATCGCTCTGGATTTCGATGCCCAACCTTTAGGGATAGCATATGTCTTGCGGTCTAGGATTTGTTGGCAGATCTGACTACATTTTCGGAACAGGGGGTTGCATCGCTCACATCGCACTTAGAACAAAGCTCGCTCAGGGTTGAAGCAAAGAGGGCCACCAGATGCACTCAAGATCGAGAAACAACATCTGGAATTAGTTGCAATGATGCCCGACACAACCACAAGTCACTCAAGCCCTCAAGCTGAAGAGCACCTCGAATCCCGATCCAGGAAACATCAAGCGGTGACCGGTAACCTAAAGCCCAAAACCCACAACCCGGATCCCTGCAAATGCTGGAAGACCCCCGCGCGCGCCTGTCCATGGTTGCACGCTTCTGCGACCTTAGAGACAAGGCCAAAAGGAGTTCAATCAATCCATAAATCAATCAATCAACCAAGCAAGCAAACTTTTATACATATGTGTATCTATATATATATATATATAGATATGTATACATAGACAGATAGGTAGATAGATAGACAGAAAGATAAGCATGCTTCTGTATGTACATATATATATATACACATACATATACATACATGCACACACTCGTGTGTGTGTGTACCATAACTGTACGTGATGTAGCTGATACTATTTTGTATCAGATTTGTATATGCAACTATCCTTAGTTCTATCTATCTATCTACCTGCCTATCGATCTCTCTATCTACCTACCTATCTAGCTATCTGTCTATCTACCTGTAGATCGATTGTATATATATATATATATATATATGTATATATATATATATACATATGTATATATATATATATATATATATGTATATACACATGTTATTTGTACATGGAAATATTATATATCTATATATCTATATATCTATATATCTATATATCTATATATCTATATATCTATATATAGATATAGAATATAATAGAGAAAGAGAGAGAGCGAGAGAGAGAGAGAGAGAGAGAGAGAGAGAGAGACAGAGAGACAGAGAGACAGAGAGACAGAGAGACAGAGAGACAGAGAGACAGAGAGACAGAGAGACAGAGAGACAGAGAGAGAGACAGAGAGACATAGAGACAGAGAGACAGAGAGACAGAGAGACAGAGAGACAGAGAGACAGAGAGACAGAGAGACAGAGAGACAGAGGGACAGAGGGACAGAGAGACAGAGGGAGAGACAGAGAGACAGAGAGACAGAGAGACAGAGAGACAGAGAGACAGAGAGACAGAGACAGAGAGACAGAGAGACAGAGAGAGCAGAGAGAGGGGGAGAGAGGGGAGAGGGGGAGAGGGGGAGAGGGGGGGCGGGAGAGGGGGAGAGGGGGAGAGGGGGAGAGGGGGAGAGGGAGAGGGAGAGGGAGAGGGGAGAGGGAGAGGGAGAGGGAGAGGGAGAGGGAGAGCGGAGAGGGAGGGGAGAGGAGAGAGAGGAGAGAGAGAGAGAGAGGAGATAGGCAGGGAGAGGGAGAGGGAGAGGGAGAGGGAGAGGGAGAGGGAGAGGGAGAGGGAGAGGGAGAGGGAGAGGGAGAGGGAGAGGGAGAGGGAACCCTCAATAATCTTTCTGGTGAGACCCGTGAAAGCCGCAAGGCCGCAACCCCACACAAAACTCAAAAAAGTCTCAACGCATAGGGATTTAGGAACCCCAACAAGCCAAACTCGAAGCCTAAACTCTACGTCCTAAGCCCTAACCCCTAAACCCCAACCTTGAAGGCCCGTGGTCAAGGAGGACGACCTCCTGCTTATTCTGGGTGCCAGATAGCTTCATTACAAGAGGTTTAGGGTTTAGGGCTTAGGGTTTGGGGTTTAGGGTTGTAGTTTCGGAGCCCTCGCAAGTATCTATGCATAGGAACGGTATAAAAAAATTAACAAGTTTCCCCCAAAGTGCCACCTAGTTACTACTACACGTGTGACTATAAGTGACAACAAGGGTTACTGTAAAGGCAACTGTAAGGCCTTGCATTACATGCGTGTTCAGGATCTGGGTCTTGTTGCCCTCCTGCTAGCTAGTTTCACCTCTGCAGCACCTGGGTTGGAAGTGATTCTGTCGTCGCCGGACATCCCAAGACCTCATACCCCAAGCTGAAAAGCCGAAACCCTAAAACGTCCCTAAGGCAACCTCTGCAGCAAGCGTTACAGCAACCCTTTTGGGAGTTTCCGATAATAGAGGACCCGAATATAATACCCGAAATAGTAGGATCCTTATTATAAGGATCCCAAATTCAGGTACCCCTAATTTTCGGAAACTCCCTTATAGTAGACCTAATGGTAACTCTTATAGCAAACGCCCTGGAGCCCGACCATCGGCCCAGAGATCCCAAAACCCTTCAATTAGGGTTTTTTATTCCTTAAACCATAATCTTAAGCCCCCTATAGGTTAAGGTATATTCATGTATATTCCTTAAATAAGGGAATACCCTTTAGTTAAGGAATAGACCTTAAACCATCATCTTCAGCCCTCTTATTTGAGGTATATTACTTAATCAAGGGGTATTAGAATCCCTTAAGCCCTGAACCCTATAGATCCCTTGTAGATCCCTTAAGGGAACCCTTAAGGATCCCTTTAAAGCAACCCCAAATATTCCTAAATTAAGGGATATTGGAGTCCCCTAAACCCTAAACCCTATAGATGCCTTTAAAGGAACCCTATAGATATAGGTTAAGGTATGTTCATGCATACTCCTTAGTTAAGGGGTCTTGGGATCTCTGGGGGCCCAGGATGCCCCAAGTCGCCGGCCGAAGGGGCTTTCCGGCAGCTTCGAAGCAAGGGAGGCTTTGACTGACGGTTTTGAGAAACGGCGGCGGGTTTGCGGAGTTGGCGGTTTGGGTTTGGGGGCTTATGGGGTCTACGTTTGAGGGTCGATCGCATCCCTACGACATCGACGTGGATCAGGAAAAAGACGTAGAGCATGAAGGAAAGTTGCTATTCATCGCCACAGTGCCACGCCAGATATGCTCCAGAACAGGGGGAGCTTGGTGCTCGAGGCTTTGACAGGCTTGCTTAGAGTAACGAGGTCAGCTTAAATCAACCATCGTGCCGCTTTTCGCACCCTGGCGGTTGAGAATGCTTGATCGCCAGCTCGGCAGCGACATGCACTGAAAAGACTTGGCAACTTGGCTGCGAGTCTTCGTGTTGTATGGCAACATCGCCTGGAAGAAGTTCTGAGTTTCGCAGGTGCAACACTATCTTGCGCCCTATCCAACACTGCCACCCGGTACCAAGTAACTTCCGACAAGGTGATGTGGGAGTTTCCGAAAATTAAGGGTACCTTATTTTGGGGTCCTGATATTACGGATCCTACTATTTAGGGTACCATATTAGGGTCCCCTCTTGTCGGAAACTCCCATGAGGAGCCGGGGTTTCCTTTTTATCGAGAGTAAAATGGACCCCAAAACCCAATTCTAACCATTCTAATCATTAAGGCCCCTATATTAACTCCCGACGAGGTGATGTGGAGCCGAGCTCGAACGTCAAAGTGGCTCTGAACTAGGGGACGGGGTGCCGGGGTGGCGGAGCAGGCTGCACGGTGAAGCAATTCAAGAGTCTCACTTGGAGGATCAGGGGACTTAGTAAGTGAGGTTATAGGTACCCTAATTGGGGGTTATAAGTAATGATAAGTATAGTTGCCTTATTTTTTATAACCCAGTTACTAAGCCCCATGATCCTTTAAGCAAGCCTGGAAAACATTACGGCAACGATCTCAAAGTGCGAACACGAGATCTCTTACCCAGGCGAGAAGTCGTGACTTAGTGATGTGGCACTACTTGGTAAGGGCAGGAAAGAGTACTGGCGTGGCTGCCGTGGTGGCGATTATGGCTCTGATCTTATACACAACTCGCGCATGAGATGTGTCACAGATGCCATGGGGCATGTTGCATGGCCATGTACCCTAAACCCTAAACCCTAAACCTTAAAACCCTAAACCCTTCCCCCCCATGCAGACTTCCGAGGGCTGCACTGGATGGCGGCTTTGCCGTACCGGCCACCTGCAGGAAGAAGAGGACTCAGGACGATCCTGGAGACTCCTACGGTTCAGGGATTAGTGTTCGGGGTGTAGCCCAAAATCCTGCTACTCCTTAACCGTTAGAGCCCAGCACCAAAATATATCAGCACTTACGTTCTCTAAACTAACGGCCACGAGAACCTAATGACCCCTGAATTAGACAGGTACCTGAAACCATTTCTGTACCCCGTATACCTTAATTTGAGTACAAATCCTGCAACCCCCGCCCATCATAGTCGTAGCAACGATACAACAACGATGCCAGTCACAATAAGTAGTGGCTACTGTTTCTGAGAGCCTGGGAATCCTGCATTGGAGGGCTGAGCAAGCACACCTGCACAAACCAAACCTTCGCAGTAGTCAGTAGTCTCGAAGATGTTCGGACCGGCCTCGGCGATGCCACAACGCAAGGTTTGCAACGGCAGCATCGCATGCCTGACAGATGCGACTGCCGTCCTTTTCGGCACTCGGTGACTCGGTGACGACTGTCAGTCTTTGCCAACCTCCTGATGCCAGGACTGCCACGCACACTCGTTGTTGTGGTTGCAGAGTGAGAAAACCCTAAACCCTAAACCCTAAACCCTAAAAGGAGAAGAAAGCCCCGGCCTAGGATGTGGTTCAGCCGCCCCCCTGCACGGTCGGGGCCCCGGCCGTTGAAAAGTCCAATGCAGACCTCGAGATCTTGGCGCCGCTTCGGCCAATGTCAGGTCTCAAATGCTACGCAGGCGGTCTTCATACTGAGATATGGCAGCCCAAGACACTGCAGAGTACATAGCCTCTCGGCATGCAAATTCACGGGAAAGCAACAGCATTCCAGACTTCACCACGCTTAGCACGGATAATGCTGCTGAATAGACCATGAACTCATTCTGAATGAGTTCGGCGAATTGAAGAAGGACGTCCATTTCACGTCCTTCTTCAAAACGCCGAATGCCAAACAGAATGAGAGAACCAAACCCTGGAATATGTCTTCAGCTAACAGCGATGCCAACAGCCCGCTTGGGTAGCTGACCTTTTCTTTGGCAACGCCCAGCATGATGGCCCAGGAGTTGAAAGTCGTCACTGCCCAGAGGCTGGAAAACCATGCAGGATAGTGCAAGCAGTAGCCGAGCAGTGCTGCCAGGTCTGTGAAGGCATCGACTGCTTGAGTATAGGTCCATGCTCTGCCCACGCTTGGGCGGAAGATCCCGAAGAGGATGCGTTGCTCTTCTTTGGCATCCCTCCAACCCTTCCAGTTTACGGTGAGCTCGTAGATGTTGTAGAGAATGTAACTAAGATAGAACGGTGTGGCCGCGAAGGTGAAGGCAACATCATCAACGCAGAATAGGATGGCTCGGTCCATGTTGTGCCAGTGGTTTTGCTCAAGCATGGGCATCAATGGCAGCAAGCAGACCGCAGCTATTCCGTTGACAAGATACCAAACCAGGTCGATGAGTGCAATGCCAAAAGTCAACAACGCCATCAAGACAAAACTTCCTATGGCCCAGAAGGACCACGGAAAGCAATAGCAGCAAGGGCACGGGACGCAGTTATCACAGTAGCCCCAGCCACAGAGGCAATACAGAGTGCACCAGTTTGTTGCTGTGAAAGCGAAATTTGGATAGCAAGCGTACCAAGCAAAGGATATTGGAACAAAAACCAGCCATGAGAGCCGAAACAGCCCAAGTGGCGTGTCTTGTGGTCCGAGCATCTGGCGCTCAAGACAGGCAAAGGATCGAGAGCTCGCATTTGACACATCATGAGTCTCGAACTTGTGAAGGTGAAGACGTGGCTGAGTTTGCCAGCGTGAATGGGGAAGAAGGCCGCAACGTTCCTCACGGCTAGACTCGGCTAGACCACCTGTGCCAGCTGAGAGACAAGTATGGCTCCAGGAAGACACGTTGTTCATGCATGGAAGATACTCAGGAGGCTGCAACACGCTCTGGAACTGAATCCCCATCGTGCCTGACGGCTGGTCCACCCAAGCTAATTTGAGTGCAACCCGCTCGTCAAAAGGCAGTGCTGAGTCATCGATGCTTCTCAAGGCCAATTGCTCATGCTTCACGGACATGCCATCGTACCCGATACCATCCAGGTGCTTCCCTGCAAACCAATTGATGCGCCACCAATCAACCCAAGAGACTGATTCAACATGCTGGTAGCCGCTCCACTCTGACTCATAATTGCGTCCTCCGAATATCCCTGCCCCGTTCGTCAAAGGTGAGAAAGATTAGACTGAACTCCTGCCTTTTTCTGATCTGCATCATAGTGCTGCAGACTCCTGTGGTCTGAACAGCTGTCCCACATGATCTTGGTGGACAATATCCAGCTTGGGCTGTCAGATGCTGCCACCATGACCTGACCATACTGACCAACTCCTGGCAAGCTGAAAACTGTGAAATTGGAAGCATTCTCTTCATCGGCAGTGAGAGCCATAAAATTGCTGTTCTCAGAGATTGCCAGGTACTGTGAATCATTGGCAGTGAAGAATTTGACACCCCGAGCCACAACGTTCCTTTCTCATTCATCCACATGGTGGCATATACCGTCTGGGCCTGCGCAGGTGTTTGCTTCACACAGACATTGCCCCTGATAGCATGTAACGTTGCCACGCCAACCAAAACAAGGCATCAACCAGCAAGTGCCCCCAGTCCCTCTGAAGCAAGGCATCGATATCGTGGTGCCGCTTCCCGGTTCAGTCGGCTTGCCATAGCTAAAGCCACTTTGGAAACAATAGTGCCAAAAGCAATAGCCAAGCGCGCTAGCCCAACCGAGTGCACCGGCCGCAAAAACATTATTGGCAAATACGGCCGAACACCCAGTGGACGCCTGGGGCCTGTCTGCGCCCAACATCTTTCGGGAGCAGTCCAGCGCAGTCTTGAGACTAAATTTCTGCAGAAGGAACAGCACGGCCTTGTGGCGAAGCAAAACACTGCTGAACAATGCTCGAAACACGTTCAAAACACATACCTCCGTCTGCACCTTGTGACTACAAACCCAAGCACGAAGCCCGGGGCATGCTAGGATCCCGCACTGCTCCAACTCGGCCAGTGAGCTTCCTGTGGCTTCCAGATCTTAGTCCAGAGATCATTTTTTCGTGGCGCATCCTGTGCAACGCGAGCACTCAGCGTTCTCTCCGTGTTCCGATGCAGCTCTGCAACCGCCTAGCACTCCTGAAATTGATAGTTCCGACCCAGGGACGGTGACCTGCAACGACCCGTTGAAGGCTTGCGGGACCTCAGGAATGTGCAGGAAGAGACTTGACATCTGCAGGGCTGCGTGGACTTCTCAGATAATTCTGAGAACGAGAGACTGAGATATACGGGCTGTGTCATGCAAAGGTCAAGAACACTCAGAATCCTCAATCCATCCAATCCCAAAACCTGTACTTCAGAAACAGATCCACAGCTCCAAACTTACTGAATTCAGCCTTTCACGTGGGCTGCTCGGTAAGTTTACGATTTCACAGTGGGCTCCACGCCTAAATGGTCCCCTCGGCCCCCAAATGCACAGTGTCCGAAATCATGTACTTAGGACCCAAGATGACGAACCTATGCTCCCTCCCGCCTCGAAGTTCAAGATTTCAGGCTGGTGTATTGGACCTCAAAATTCACGAGTTCGCGCTTTCACTTCCCGCCGGCCGCAGGTTGAATTCTCGCACAGAGTGGTCTACCCCAAACCCTGCCTCCCGAAGTGCTCGAAGTTCGAAGGACAACACCTCCTCCGCTGCGTGGCCTGAGCCCCACCCTAAACACTCGCTCCCCAAGTCATCATGACAGAGGTTGCTTGGGTACTGTCTGGATCGTTAAGCTCAGAGCGACCCGTGCTTAACGATCCTGAGATTGAAAGCACGGCGAGGACAAGGCTGCAGCAAGAAGTGACAAAAAGCTGCACAATGTGCACAGCAGGGAGCAGGAACAGTCAGGAGAGACACAAGCGCCGCGTCGGTCACAACGGTAGCCACGAAGAACTATGATCGACAACAAACTAGGACCAACTACGACACTAGCCCCAAAATGCAAGCGCTGTACTCAGGACAGCACCCATAAAGCCCGAGTTCGAAAGCTTGGCGCACTGGTAGCTAGCAATGGGCTGATAATCACTCATGTCATGCGCTCGACATAAACAGAACTTAAGGTGCACCGTACCCCTAAACCCCAAGACCCTGAACCCAAGGCCACGAAAACTCTGTCGGCGCACCTGTGCTACATATCGGCTGCGGGCTTCAAAGCAAAACAGCTCTTCCTCGACGTCCTGAGAGCTGGGTGAAGTGCTTTCGTTTCACCTATTGCTGACCATTCTTAATGTGGGAGTTTCCGAAAACAGGGGACCCTAGTATAGTACCCGAAGTTGTTGAATCCTTGTTATAAGTCCCATGTTGCTGTTGGCTTAGGGAGTATAATGCTTCGGGCTCAAGACGAGCGGGCTTTCGGGGAGGGTTCGGGTCCAGGCCTCATGCCTAGGATGGGTTTCGGGTTTAGGGTGAAGTTTACAACTTCCTCCTCACTACTGAGCTTTTAAGCACCCAGGGAGAAAAAGTATAAACTTTTATTTCGCAATGGTTCCTTTAGGAAAAAGGTATTAAAGTATTAAAGTATTAAAGTATGATACTCCAAAGCCCAGGCTAAGCACGATCCGCTGCAAACTGGTCAGTTTCGAAGGTCTCACTCCAGTTGGCTTCTGACCCTCGCAGCCCCTCTGCAAGGTCTGAAAAACCTAAGCACGCAACCCCCCACCCGAAACCCTTAAACCCTAAACCATAAGCCCTAAACCCTAAACCCAACCCCCAAATCACAACCCCTGACCCCGGGTCCCTTCGGTGATGAACCGCCGCACACCCAACCTAAAACGCCCCAAGACCCTGCCAACCCCTTACAGACCCCTGTAGACCCTTAAACCCTTATGTACAGCCGTTCTAAGGCCCGAAACCCTAAAGCCTAGTCCGAGAACCCGAAAAGCCGAAACTCCTAACCCAAACCCCAAACCCTAAACGCTAACCCTAAAACCAAAACCTGAAACCCTAAAGCCCCAGACTTAAAGCCCATGCACCCGTGGCCTTCCGCCGCTCTGAAAGGCTCAACGGAATCCATGGCTGCGAGCGCTTTTCTGGGATGGCTTGTTTGCCCTAAGACTCCATGTACTTTAAGGCCTAAGTTCCTACTATATGGGTACATGGAGCCTTGGGTTTGGGGTTTAAAAAATGTAGGCTTCAGCGTGGGCGGGGTGGCTTTCGGGAATGGTTAGGACTTAGGGTTTAGGTTGGGGCGTCTTTGGGGTCGAGTGTTTGAGAGGTTGGTTTGGTTGGGAACTGAGCACTGAAGGTTGGGCGTCGTGGTCTTCTGCAGGGAAAGGTTTTGGTTGTAGTCTGATTCAAGGTTAAACGCACGCTTCCCGTTGGTAAGCAATCAACCGAGGAGAACTCGAGCAGCAGCAGGTCTTCTTAAGCCATCTTTCGAATGGGGCGGAAAGTTGAGGGTCCACGATGGGTCAGGTTAAACTTGTCGGGCTTTGAGACTGTAAGGCGAAAAAATCTGTGAAATGCTGGCTCTTGAAGCTTTGCTTGTAGTGTGAGCATATTCTACTATGAAGGCAAAGAATGAGGTATATTGAACCATACCTGGGGGGACTAGACTAGAATCGAAGGAGACACGAAAAGTATTACGTTGAGCCTTTTGCAAAAGGCTTGACTGCTGCATTGTTCTCGGTACTCCTGCGATATGATAGGGATATCTGGCAAGTACTATGCATCAGATAAGTTTGCTGCACGATGCCGTAGCTTATGATATTCTGGCGACCTCAAAGCAAGCTCGTACCCTCACGGCGTTGATTTTACTGCCTTTGCCTCCCCATCTGGGTCTTGCGGCACGAGAGAAGGAGTGCTCCGGCCGGCGGCCGAGAACCCTTCGCGGAGGTTTGGTCTGCCAGCCTCTGAAAGGCTTTTTGCTTTAGGGCTTCTATTCTACTTAAGGTTTGGGGACATGGTGGTGAGGAGTTTGAGGGTGTTCCGGTTGGGAGTGCGTCTGCTTTAAGGTGCCTCGGGGTATGGTCTTGGGGCCTTGTCACCTTCTTGTCTCAGTAGACTGAAAGCAGCAGTAGTTTCGAACATCTCAGCCTCAACATCTGGAGTTCCGTATGCCTGGTCGGAAAAACACCCCGAAATGCTGGGCCCCGTCCCGGTTATAGAAGGCTCTGGAATCTAGGGTCACGGATTTACGAGCTCGCTGAGGAATATCTAGAGGGCGCAGGCTTGCTGGCAAGCCGTTCTCCGAATTTGCCGTGTCTGCTTTGGCACATAACTGCTGCTAAGTGAGACTGGTGGGGGATCTTCCGTCTTGCACGAGCAGAAGCTGCAAGCGACCTTCTGACAGTAACCACAGGCCTCACGTAAGAAAACAAGGAACATCCCCCATCTTCTTGCGCACCGTGCTGACTGCATTTGCAATGCCCTCCAATCGCTTAACTTCGCCAGGCAATTGTTCAATCCTGAAGTCTCAAAGTGACTATTACCACGGCTTCGGGCTTAGGGTTTGGGTTTTATGGTTGTGAGACACCAAACCTTATAGACCCCGTATAGTAGCCCTTATAAGTCCCCTTCAAAGGAAGCCTATTCTAATAATAAGGCCCTGATGAACGATCAGAGGCTCTGATCGCCAAACGATCAATTAGCAAAACGCTGGCGCCATGTACCATGGCAAACAGCGCAGTGCAGGGTGAAACGGCAAACCTTCGAAGAGTGAGGGGCACGCGCATCTGGTCAAGAGAATACTGCTGCTGCAGATTCTAGGTTCCATCTTCTTTTATCTCCTATGCTCGTGGTTCGACCACACCCTCGGCTTTGTCGCTCTGAGCAAACAACTTCCCTACCCCATCGTGTAGATTGTGAAATCAATCTCCCAGCCGCGGCATAAAACTCGTACAATCTCCAGAGTTCCAGTATCATTCTTGCTACTATCTTTACCACTAGTGCTACTTCATTGTTCCCACTCACTACGAGTTTTGGCCGTCGTCGTCGCCGACGACGTCGTGGTCGTGGTCGTGGTCGTAGTGGTAGTGGTAGTGGTCGTCGTCGTC